GTGTCCATACTGTAGGAGACATACTGAGCCTGTCCAGGAGTGCAGATTGGTGTGTGTCCATACTGTAGGAGACATGCCGAGCCTGTCCAGAAGTGAAGACTGATGTCCATACTGTAGGACACATACCGAGCCTGCTGTGTGCTGCAGTGCTGTGTGAACCCATGCTCTCGAGTATGGTGACAGCACGGTGTCTCTCTTCCTGTTTCCTAGGAGGCAGCGGTGTTGGTGTCTCAGCGCTCCATGAACCCAAGGGAGTTCTTCCGACAGCTGTCCTCCTCCTCCTCTTCCCACAATTCCAGCAGTCCGGTCTCCCCCCGCTCAGGTCAGAATGCTGTTTCAGGTCAGGCCCATTGTGGGGGACAGCTCGGGGGCGAGGGGGGCGTTTGAGCAGTGTGTCTGGCTGTGTGCGCGAAGATAACGAATGCCCCTCTTCCTCCGTCTCTCCGCAGGCAAACCTACCTTCCGCCGGTACCAGCGCAGCCTGACGGACACCGCCTTCATCTTCGGGAGGTGTGACTCCTCCACGCCCACCTCCCCGCGCAGCCCCACTGTGGTGTCTCCCTTCTCCCCCTCCCCGTTCCCCGCCACCGCGGTGGGCCCCTTGTCGCCCTCCAGCCCTGAGCCCGCCTTCCAGCCCGGCGCCCGAGATGGGCCTGGGGCCCTTGGGGCCCCTGTGGCCTCCCCTCCCACCTCTCCCCCGCGCCCAGCCCTCCGCAGGCAGCGCCCTGCCTCTGCGGCCCCCCAGAGCTCGCCCGCCCCGGCCGCCGCGCCAGACGGCCAGCCCCCCGGCCCAGCCCTCCCCGCCTCGCCCCAGCCTGACCCCCCGGTCTCCCCTGCAGGCCCAGGCAGCCTGTCAGAGGCCCAGCCTGCCCCCTGTATCCCTGCTGCCCCCACCTCTGCCCTGCCCCCTGACCCCCCGGCTGCCCCCAGTCCTCCCCGCACACAGGAAGACCGTCCCCCGGCTGCAGGTAAGCAGTCACCTCACCTACTACACCTGTGAGGGCACTGGTAGAGCCGAGAGATATATTCCGGAGTGACATGAAGGTATTGGCTGCACCTCTGTGTTCCCGTCGCTAAGGTGTTGTCATCAGAACCAGAATCAGAAACGTTTATTCGCCAAGTACAAAATATACAAGGAATTTCTCTGGGTGCAGGTGTCAACATAACCTCCCATAAAATCAAAGGAAGAAATCTACAGATAAAAACAAATCTCGGTGATCTGTTCCATTTAAAAGTACATACAGTACATACAGTCACCCTCTTTCTCACCCTAGACGAGTATAAATCTGCGAGGGGAGAGCTATCAGCCTCACAGAGCCAGTTCTTAGATCTCGCTGAATCAGATCTCAGATCTTGGTGGATCAGAACACTTTTGGTTGCTTTTCAGGTTGTTATTGTTTTAGGTCCCACGTCAATCAGTAGTGCTCATCTGCGTATTGCTATGTCGGGCTGATCGTGAAGACTGAGAAGTGCAGACTTGTGCAGGGCTATTAATGAAGTGCAAACCATCCACACACTGGAGTTTCTTCTTCTTCCTCTCCAGAGCTGCACATGGTTAACAGCACGGTGAGTGAACTGAAAGCAGACCTGGGCACGAGAGCTGAGGCCGTCTATAAGGCAGAACTGGACTCCAGCATTCCACCGGTGGCTGAGGAAGAGGAGGAGGAGGACGCGGAGGAGGAGAAGAAAGAGGAGGAGGAGAAAGAGGAGGAGGAGGAGGAAGAGGAGAAGGAGGAGGAGGAGAGATCTGGGCTTGCGGAGATTGAAGCAGCTTCTAAGTTGGAGCCGCGAGCAGCCACAGAGCCCTACCTGGCAGGACAGGCTGAACCGAGTACAGAGGTCCTCCAAACGTCCGGGCAGGAAGATCCGACAGCCGAGCTCTGCCTGGAGCCGGAGCTGGTGCCCCTGGGAGAGAGGATGGCAGGGGCCGGGAGCGCTGTTCTCGGGGCTGCCAGGGCCACGGAGGAAGACGGAGCCGAGGTTGTCTTCACAGAGCCGGAGAGCGAAGCACCACGGCCCTCGGCCCCACCCCTAGAGCCAGACCTGATCGGAGGAACGGCTGAAGAAGACAGGGAGGCTGACAGGGTCCACCACGCCGGCCAGGAGCCGATCACAGCAGGTATCTGAGCAGCGCAGCAGCGCGGAGTAGAGTCTCTTCATCCCAGACTGGGGCAGGGGGGGTTCAGACCCTGGGTGGAATGCTTCTGCTTTACCTCTGTGCTACTGGATTTGTTTAGGTTGCTCCAGTGAGCGCCCTGCTCCAGGTTACATTTAAAAATGAGCGGAGGAGGAACTCCTTTCCATAAAGGGTTCTAGGAGTACAGCACAAACGATCCAGCCATGCTGTTGAAGTTGACACTCTGGGTACAGCCAAGAATCGCCTGGTTGAGATCCTGGGTTCTTTTCGCTACTGTCTCATGGACAAGATGGCCTAGTGGCCTCCTCTGGTTCGTGAGCTATCTTGTGTTCTTGGAAAAGGAGTGTTCATGGAGGGGGAGGGGGGCTGCATTGTGGAGCAAATCAGTCCTTACTGTTGTCCAAAAATTCATACAAACTGTCATTACATACAGTACATCTCAGTTTCCCTTTCTTCTAATTCTGTCCCCTGTGCTCCTTTTTATATCACCTGAATAGGATTTTAATGGATCCAACTCTGATTTTGCATGGAGCTATGTTGATGAGTAAAGTGTTTAGACCAGATGGTCATATTTTGACCAAGGGAGTTATATGCAATTGGAAAAAAAACAAATATACTAATTCAATTTTCTACGAAAGTTGATTTTTTATTTTAAAATGAAAAGTGTAGATATCTTAAACTTTGCACCGAAATAATTTAATTTTAAATTATTCTTTTAATTAAAATTAAAAACAGACTCCCCGGGTAATATTGGAAGCATTGCTAGATCAGCACCGGCGATCTTTCGGGTTTTGTCAGTTTTTAAGATGTCTTTCCATTTCCAAGTTAATGTCAAGTTCCCGACAGGTGAAGCAGTGAGCTTGCCACTGCTGGCCGCTGCTGGCTGATACCTGGCTGACGGCTCATATCCAGGGAGCTCTGCAGCACATACATGTACATCACAGAGCCTTTACTGCCTGAATAACTGCAGCCTCACCTCCCACTGAGTCATGTGACCCAGCAGGAGGCAGTGCTGACCTTCCTTGTGTTTTACAGACACAGAACAGTCGGGACTGGAGAGGGAGGAGCCAGCGGTGCAGCCGGCCAATGAGGGGACGCCTGAAGATGAGAGGCAGCAAGAGAATGGAGAGCAGGTTTCGGAGCAGAATGGCACAGCAGGTATTGGATACCTGGGAATCCAGTGGCCAATCAGCAAGGAGAGGGAGAAGGGGAGGGCGGGGCATGAAACCCTTACGGTGGAATCGGAGGTCGGAGTGTTTTTAACTCGCTGGATACACCTGGAGTTACAGCCAGTGCATGATTCAGATGAGGTAACCTGAGGTCCACTCATTTTAAGGACTGTTATAAGCTCTCGTTCTCAGAGATATTGCTCTCCGAGAAGCACTGCTCCTGGACCTTTGATTGAATCTGAGGATCAGTACCAGGCTAGTTATAGGCAGACACTTTTGAGACCCGCCCGTATTTCTCTTCCCCTGACGCTCCGTCTCTCCGTCTCCGCAGATCATTTTGACTCCCCTGACACTGACCTGAGCGCACCTGTGGTGTCCGAGTCCAGTCTCTGTGCAGTGAGGCATGATGGGATGGAGGAGGACTCCATGGTGCAGGAGCAGGAGCAGGAAGTGCAGAAGGAGGAGGAGAATGGAGAGGTAATAATAATGATTGCTTACACTTACATAGCGCTCTTCTGGACACTCCACTCAAAGCGCTTTACAGGTAATGGGGACTCCCCTCCACCACCACCAGTGTGCAGTGTGTGTGTGGCTGCCATTCAGAAGCTTCCACCCCTGCGGACACACAGCCATATCACGTAAAATCAATTGTCCACCCTCTCTTCATCATCTGACCCCTTGTTTGTCTTTGCAGGAGTCCCCAGAGCCAGAGAGGAAGCTATGTGTACGAGCACTGTGTGACTACCAGGCAGGTGAGTCCAAGGCACACACACAGAGAAATACACCTGCCCGTGTATCCGATTGTCCGAACTGTGTGCCAGCTCGGCTGTAGTGTAGTTGAAAGTGTGTGCGGATTAGAGGCCAGCCTGGCTGGGAATTGCCACATGAGCTTGGTTGCTCACACTCCAGGCGGTGAGCCTCCATCCGACACACTGTTTCAGGAGTATGAAGGGGGTGGTTTATCAGTCAGTCCCAGGGAGAAACATCAGGCCTGGGCAGGACCTTCTGGTGTCGGAATTGACAAGCAGCTTAGCAACTTGCGATGCAGAAACACTCCAGGAAGTCTCGCAGGGGGGTTATGGGAGGTGTTGTTCCTGCAGGAAGACCTGTAACAGCCAGGAGTCTGGTTCTCTACAGCATACAGTATGTGAACTTGAGCGCCCAGGCAGGAAGCACATAGTAACAGCTGCTGACTGGTATTGGGAATCACTAGGGACATGGTTATTTTTTTTACCTGGTGAACAACGGAAGATGGATTTGACTGTGCGGACCAGGGGCAGGGCTTGGGTGGGTTTGGGGGACTGGCAACATTCTCCCTGAGCTCACTTCAGCAGGCAGATAGCAGTGAGGAATCCGGAGACAGGTGCCATCTGCTCAGGGCGTCAAGCAGAGAGCCATAGGAACTGCAGTCCTCACTGATTTTAAACAGCCGAAATCATTTCCAAAGGTTTTGGTTTGTAAGGGTGAAACAGGGCTCCCCCTCTCACTCAGAATTGCCTTTCATTTCTGATCACGTGTTGCCGATCCTTTTAATTAAACTCAGAGGCTCTTGCTAGGCACTTGCACATCTTGCCACTGTTGTTGGCTCTGAAAGACATCAAGAGTGTGAAACGTGACCCGTCACCTGACCACACATCTCGCGGAGCGTCCGTTCCGAAACTGTCCAGCAGATGGCAGCCTCCTGCTGTTTCTGAACAGTTGAAACTGCTCTTCCTTTGAATTTGCGTTCTGTCTTGGCATTCAGGGAATTTAGCAACCGTTGAGATCATTCATCGCTTTTTAATTATTTAAGAGTGGGGAATCTTTTTTTTTTATTTCAGTCCTCAATCAACTAAAAAAAGCAGAACACGCTAAATGAAAATCCCCCATCAAAAATCTACATAATTGGTAAAATAAGAAGTGGAATAAACTCAGAATGCTGTTTCATTTTTTTTCTCCTAATTCCTAAGACTTCAGGCAAAGTAATGATTTTTCATCTGAGCAGAAGAAACCATGAGCCTGTGTCCTGGACTCTCAAAGGGTACAGTGGGCTTGAGGCTTCTTCTCTGGCATGTTAAGGGTTAATAAAGACATTGTGTCGTGTAAAGGCAGAGAGGGAGTGAAAGGTAAAGGAATGCATGTAAATAAGGATCCCACACTCAAACCTTTTATTTGCATTCTCTTATTACGTTGAAAGAATAGTGCAGCCCTGTTACAATAACAAAGTGTTTGTACAGTAATATTCAACTCATGAGACCATCCTGATGCGTTCAGGAAGTATTAGCAAAACAACGTCACGAGGTGCACAGCACCCTAGTTCGGCGTCTCAAATTAGAATTCAACTGCCAGCGATTATTAATCAAGATTGTGATAATGAGGTTTTTACGATAACTAGGCGCTCAGCATTGTGTTCATTCCTGATCAGCTCGCTCATTCTTCAGCACAAACAAACGCAGGACTCATCACAAATTTCACACCCAATCACTCTGATTTTGCGTCTGCTGAGGGAGGTGTTGCTGGTATTATTTTTAATATAGCCACTCCTGTTTGTGGTCACATATGTAACACAGTGCACCTGTCACGCTGCTGCTAATCTGATCTACAGCCTTTTGAACTTCCATCAAACCTCAACACCAACTGCTGAAGCACTTTTTAAAACTTTCTGAAACCGTAGCACACCACAGCTAAAGAGTGCTTTACAAATTAGAGAATAAAGAATGCTGTAAAGAATTCAAGAAAGGAATATTGCGAGGCTGAAAAGTCGGTATGTACACTGTGTGGAAGACATTTAAAGGACAGTGTCAAATCTGGTGCAGAGCAAAATAAGCTTGAGGATTATAGAAGACAGCCAGCCTTATTAATTTAAGAAAGGTTTTGAGAGAAGGCCCTTTGCACTGATGTACTTGAGCAGTTGTTAGCATCTTATTTGACAGTAGGGTATGAATCAGGCCTTTTTAATTGCTTCCAGAACATGATAAGCAATTTGTTTCACAGCATTAAAAGGACAAGGACAACTTGTCAGTCTTAGTTCTTCACTGGATCCTAGAGTACTGTTGAACATAACTATTACAGCCAAACTGGAATGGGAATTGAGCTCAGTATCCTTGGGTTGTGATGCAGCATCGTGGGGACACTGTCCTTTCACAGAGGGCCAAATTAGTTACTGCTTAATCTGGGCACTCTTGGCATTGTGGCAGGATGCCGGAGCAACTAAAAACTCACAAAGCCTTGGTTAGAACATGCAAACTCCACACAGACAGGCACCCCAATCGGAAATGAAGCCCAATTGTGATGCAGCAGAGCCAACTACCATGTCACCTAACTACTTAATGTATCTCCTCAGCTCTTTGTCCTATGTAAACCCTTTACATCTTCCTATGCTGCAAGCATTGTGCTTCATTTTTACCCCAGTGCCATATGGCACTTTAATCCGCAAGGCAGAACATTGTGTAACATCTCACAAGAGCGCTGCTTGCTTAAGGAACTGAGCTGCTGTCATGTAGGTGGGGATCATGTTAAATCTCAATACCATCTCAGAGAGCTATTTTAGGAGGCATCCCAGAAATGTGTTATATAACACCTTGGTTTAACTGCAGGTGTGCAAGGAGGTTGTGCAGCTTTTGTACAGTGCTGACAGCAGTATCTCTGACACAGAGTAGGAGTCTGAAAAAGGACTTGCCTGCTTTATTATATTTCAGGACCCTCTTTTTGCCTGGAATAGAAACAGATTACAAAAATATGTTTATTTACAAAAAGCCTGCTGGTGTTAGGTGAAACACATGCAAACACAGGGAGAACATACAAACTCCACACGCCTGGGTCTCAGAGCCAGTGCCGGATTTCCCATGAGGCACTGTAGGCACACTACCTTGGGCCTACGAAAAGTTTAGGGCCTATGAAGCAGGGAAACACTAGTGACTAACGAAAAATGAGCTGAAACAACAGGCTTGCGGTCGACTCCATCAATCACGTGATTTAGCATTAGAGGGGTTTAAAGTGTATCATGTCAGTCGAGGTCACTCAATTGGCCTTTACCCCTCATTTTGCACATTGCGGAGTGACAGTGCCTGGGGCCTAGGGACACCAAAATCCGGCCCTGCTTAGAGCTGGGAGGCAGCAATGCTTACAGTAGGTGCTGTGCCACCAGACCTTCCCCCATTCAATGTATCATTGTGTTCAGTGCCTTCATTTGAGCACAATATTTCAGCTCAGTTCCAGTTTCTGTGGTGTAATTTCCTCATGTCAATAAACTAATTTTCTTGGCTTGATATGCTTAGATGATCTTGCACAACAGCTGCTGGAATGTGCACTGAGGTAAACAGCTGCTCCAGCAGAGGGTTCCCACAGGGTCCTAAACACCGCCTGGTATCCGGTCCCTGTACTAGTGCTGGGATAGAAGCAGGTCCTGGTGTTACAGCTGCCCCTGCCCTGCTCCGTGCTGTAGCTGAGGAAGTAAGACTTCCTCATGGAAGGTGGGGGTCAGCATGAACTGTTGTGTCCAGAATGCCAATAAGTGGCTTCATCTCGGTGTAGTGTAGTGTGCCGTACGTTTCTAAAAAACAAGAACAGCTGAAGTGCATTTCTGCTTGGCAGGATACTCAAACTCAGTGAGAGCTGGGCAGGGTCTGTAGTGTGAAGGCTACAGTGACTGAGTTACCGTAGAGGTTGGACATTTCGGGTTATAAATAACTGGAACTGTCCTGTCCACCTTCTCTAGAACCACAATTACCCCCACTCTGACACATTGCAGCTCGCTAATTTAATCTGAAAAATACCCTAGAGAACCATTTATCTGTCACTCAAAGGCTTTTAATGAAGATTATGTCTGAAAGGTGCCGTGCGGTCTCTGCCCATCCCTGTCAAATCACACCGGGCCTTTGTTTCTGGGCCGTGCTAAACGGCCGGCGAGACAGTTTTGTCTCCTTCACATTCATTCGAGTGAGAGGCGTGATGTAACCCAAACGGCAGGGTTCAGGTTACTGTGCCTGTCTGTCACACCACCCGACGGCACCCACAGCTCAGACTAGTGTCTGTGGCTCATCAGTGCATAGGCAGGGATTTGCATGACAAATCACTGCAACGTTCAGCTTACCAACTGCATTTGAAACCAAGATAAAGCCACACAGAGGCATTAGGCTGTGGGCTGCAGTGTGGAGCAGTGCGTAAGGCTCTGGGCTTGTGACTGGAAGGTTGTGGGTTCGAATTACACCTGAATTGCTGCTGTAAAATAGCCTTATTTTACCTGAGTAGTAGAATATCCTGCTGTATAAAGGGATGCAAACATTAGATCAGTTAAATACATACTGTATGTAGTGCCGTGAGCAGGCTGAGCTGTGCTTAAAGAGGCCAGTGAGACCCAGCGTATTGGTGAAACAGTAGGTTGGTCTGTCTTGGTGGAGCTTCACCATTGCAGCCCATTGAATGTTACATTTCTTAAGCCTGCTTCATGCCACTGGAGCATTGTCAGAAAGCCCATTTGTTCCATCTTCAAATGTCCTCATTAATGTCAGTAAGCAATGAATGGATAAATGGGTTGATTGATCTATTATTTCTTGCCTTTATATAGCAACTTATATGTTAATTCCTGGTACCACCTTAAGAAGAAGCAGGGTTACATTGGTTCAGTCAGTGAAATAATGATCTTGGTTAAGGGACCAACCGAGGAGGAGTTGAAGAGGAGTTTAGAGTTTGATCTGTGTTTGTAACTGCTGTTCGTTTGGGAGGGAGTGGCTGGGCCACACCGGGCTCCGCTCTCACCCTCTCTCTCTCTCTGCCTCTGTGTGTCACCCTCGCAGAAGACGACTCCGAGCTGTCCCTGGAGCCCGGCGACATCATCAGCGTCGTGGAGGCGGTGGACCAGGCCTGGTGGAGAGGCTGCAGCAAAGATGGCCGCCAGGGCCTCTTCCCCGCTAAATACGTGGAGCCTCTCTAGGGTGGACGCGCTCAAAGACTCCCTTAGGGACCGGAAGTGCGCCCCACAGCCTCGCAATCCGGGAGTACTGAGGGCTGCAGATACGCCGCAGTGCTGCCACCACAGCAACGAACAGGACAGCACAGAACGCCTTTAGAAAAACGTGCCTCAGATCGCTGGAGTCAACTTCAGGGCGGCTGTCTCAAGACAGCAAGTACACAGATACAGGACACTTCAGCATCAGGACCCGTGTAAAATGGTGCCTTACAGTGCAGGATTATACCAGTTCTTCAGGCAGACAGGTGATTCTCATTCACTTTACTGTGGTGAAGATCCAGATTGTGGCGGGAGGCTGCAGGTCTCCCATACTCCTGTGAGGGGGCTGCACCAGGGCCGTCTTCCCTCCCGGTACCACCATAATCCCCCCCACCACCATCAGCAGCAATAAAAGCTCCTAGTCTACAGGCCATCTTTGACTTACAGTTTCGCCAGCTGACAGCCCTTTCTTCGCTTGATTTTTGGGGTGCATTCTTGGTGCTAGGAGATGTATTACCTTGCATTGCATGCAGCTATAGCTGTGATGTACAAGTCAGGCAAAGTTAAGTTATAGTCACCTTGGCATAAAGGTGATTATCACAACAGCACTATGCAATATTATAACTGTAGTGCCTAAAAGAGAAGCACGTGTGTTGGAACCTATTGGGCAGATATTTTCTCCCTGTCTAGGCCAATGCTGGGTTCATGTTTTGAACGAGAGGGCTGAAAATCTGAACCGGTGAAGTGCATTAACTTGATTTCTATCACTGGATGCAACAAATCTGCATTACCAGGTCAGTCTTTTTAGAGCTGTGCTTTGGAACCTCTGTAAGTGCAAAGCCTTGGTGTCATCGAAGACATTAAGCTGGTTTGCATGCAGGTATTAACCATATCCTCAATATTGCCCCAACACTCAATGGCTATTTGGTAAATCAGAGACACTGTAAATAATCTAGAACTAGAATGTGTGCCTTACAGTATTGAAGCTGCAGCATTAATACTTGGACAGTAGTGACATTATCTCCAATCCGGCATCCCCGCTGATTTGACAGGACAACCGACAGGTATTGTGCGGTACAGTCTAGTAATCTTCGTGCGCTGATGTGGTGAAGATGTCTGTGAATACACAGACTGTAAATGTTGCTTTTTTGCATCTTATTTATAGACAAAACCCTAGGTCTCTCCCCCAGGATGCCGAAAGGCCAAACACTCTGAGTTGATCCCGAATCAGGTCATCATCAGCTGATTGAGGCTAAAACACAACAGCAACAAAACCCTGTCTCTGAATACTCCTTGCACTTTGGGTGACAGAATTCACAGTTTGCACTCTATTAAGCTATGCTCTGAAATAGCTGCCCTGGAGGGTGTGTTGAAAGTTGTATACCAAATTATCGATCTTAAAACTGAAAACAGCAGGACTGCAAACTGTCTGGTAGCTTCCCGGTACAGATCTGTATATTTCTGCAATGCATACATGTAGAACGTCGCAGTTCTATTTCTATAGCAATTGTTGTATGGAATGACTGGGCTCTTGTTATTTTACAATTATGGTATTTTTACTCAACATATAGATGATTCATTTACATTTTTGCTCAACATTTCTTGCCTTCTCCGTAGGCGAAAGCAGGACTGCTGTTTGTGAATTTGAGAGGTCTCCTTAGTAACGGGGTGTTTGCAGAGGAAACCTTGTGGTAGAATACAAGGAAACCTTGTATACCCACTCACACACAGAGTGTGAGCCAGTCCTGCACTGAGGCAGGCTTTTCGACAGGCCCTCACAGACCCTCTTTTAAACAGACAGAAATGGAGAATACAGTCTGGTGGCCTGCAGTCAGCAGAGAGAAGCAGCTTGATGGTGAAACAGCTGGTCGAGGTGTTTGCAGTTAGAGGGATCACATCAGCAGGACAATACATGTACCAGCTGGGTGAACCTGCCTTGTTGGGGGTTTAGGGCGCGTGGCTGGAGGCAGCAAGGGGTTGCACTTTCCTGGAGCAAGGAAAAGGATGCTTCAGTTCGTCCTGCTGAAAGTATTGAACACATTGCCAGCCGACCATCAAAAAGCACAGCAGACCTCAAGGGAGTTGGAACCACATTCATTAGCTGTGGGTTTTTCTTATCTGATAGAATAAAACATCTGCTTCCCATATTGTGCTTTTAATCATTGATTAATAAAGGTATTGTAATCAATTACTTTCATCCTCTTTGGTAATGGCAGTTGTGCGCCCTGGAAGACCTAAAGTTATTGAGGCAGCCATGTGTTTCTGTAGCATCCTATAACTTGTGCTGCAGCACACTTCAGGAAAAGGGCTTGTAGTTGTTAATGTAGCACACAATAATGTGGGTAAACAAATTCTTTATGCCTGGGTTAGGTATTTCCCTATTATTCTGTTGTATATTTAGCATCTGTTAAGAAATGTTATGAAAATAGTTTAATTGCACACATTTGCAATTCCCTTTCCATTGAAGTTGGGCATGCAAATTCAGGCAGGTCTTGTCAATAGAAGCAGGATACTCTTGTGCTTTGTGTGGGTCGTATTTACTCTGGCTTCAGGCTACCTTGATCTGGCAGCTGCTGCAGTCATCCCATTATTCCTATTCCATAATTTCTAAAGGCTCTTACTTTACAGTCATGTACTGTATTTATCTATTATATTCTATGAGATACATTAATCCTGCTTGTCTAGATCAGGAGCTCCCAATCCTCTCCTTTAGGACCATTCACCCGCTGGTTTGATTCCCTGCCCAGCCCTCAGTTGCACACAGTGGACTTGCTAACAGGAGTGATTTCAACTGTTCGGCCGTTTTTAGCTCTTTAACATGTTGGAAGTTGCTTATGAACAAATCCATCTCATAAGCAGAAACAAAATCCCAAACAGGTGAGCAAAAAAAGCTGCCAATATTCCAATCAACCAACTCGTTAGTTCTCATCGAACTGGCAGGTTGCTTGATTAAGGCTTCAGTGAGCCAATCAAGCTCAGCTGTGATGAAAACCAGCATGGGTGTGCTCCTCTAGGAGCAGGATTGGGAATCCCTGTCTAAGAGGGTTGCAGTAAACTCTGTACGACTGTCAAAGGTCTTGCAACCTGGCCCGTTTCAAGAGCCTTTGAGCTGGAGGCTGGTTTTGTGCTTTGTCTTCAGCCTCCCTTCTTGAGCAGTCTGTTGGGTGGATCCATGACCTGCTCAGGCTGTGAACACCACTGCTGTCCCAGCACATTTAACCCGGTGCTGCAGGAACAGTTTCTGCAGTCGTCTTCTTTGGCTGTTTCACCCCTGTTCTGGGCCATTCTGACCTCGTCTGGAATTGTCGATTCTGGCTATTTCCATATTGGTTTTTTTTCTGTCTAAAATTTCTCAAACATTTTTGTTATCCAATATGTGTATTTTATTTTTACAAAGCAGCGGGCTTAGACAGTAAAATCACAAATGCAAAGAGCCGTTCTCCTTACGTGAAGAGACGTTTTGACAGGTGTCTTTTCCTGAGTCGCTTGCTGTGGTGTGAAGACGAGAGAGTCCTGAGCAACAGTCATTGCACTGTCTGCACACGAGCCACTCTCCTCTTCCCAGTTATCCTTGTCACTAAAAGGTACCGTGATTCGTGAGCTCCACACATTATCCGATAATGTTCCGGCTTTAAAAATTGTTACAATTGATCCAGATGGTTTTAAAATTCCAGATAAGTAAGTAAATTGAGAAGATTTTAAGATGTCAGTTTGATATGTCCAGGCCCATTTCATTGAAGCTCAGCTCCTTTTATCTGGAAGTTAAAACAATTGGCAAGCACAACAAACAAAAGCTAACCTATTCAAATATTTCTCTTTATTAATTTAATCTAGGCCGCAGTAAATGCCATCACAAAATACCGCATTGCTTTTTATTAAAAACTAATAAAATACAAGAAACAAATACCACATTTCAACCAATGCAAATAGTTTTAATAATGTTAAATATATTTCATTTTGAGTATTAGTCTATGGTAATACAGTGTACTCTTCAGAATTAAATACAGAGTTGGCAACACAATATTCTGTTATAGAGCATTAGTAAGTGTCAATACATTGTACTTTTCAGAACTGAATACAGGGGGGTAACAGTATTTCATGTTGAGTTTTTTTCAATGGTAATACATTGTATTCTACTGAATTAAATGCAGGGTGGGTAATGTGGAGTATTAAGCAAAAGTAATAAAATGTACCTTTCAGAATTAAATTCAGGGAGGGTAACAAAATTCCATATAGAGTATTAGTCTATGGTAATACAGGAACAAGTAATAGGTTTATTCCATGCTGAAAAAAAGAAGAAAGAAAACACAACGTTTCGGCCGTGGAGCCTTCTTCAGGTGTGAGCTCACACTTCAGGTGCTCACACCTGAAGAAGGCTACACGGCTGAAATATTGTGTTTTCTTTCTTCTCTTTTCAGCAGGGAATAAACCTTTTGCTTGTTACCATACTCAGAGTGTGGCTGCTGCTGTCATGAAGCACCTTGTTCCACTTTTGCTTCTGTGCTACAGAAAGGTCTGCTCTTCTGTAATCCAGGTAGCCTGCTGTATCGCTCAGTTATTACTGCTTACAGTATACATACAGAAATCCTCACCGGTATCTAGGAAAAACTCAAATAGCATTTTAGAGTACATGGACTTTCGAATACGGAAAAGGAATCATTTACAGGGAACAATAGTTCTGTTTTTGTTTTTAGCTTTTATTTTATCTGTACTTGGGACAAAAGATATCAGCTGGAGAGATGACCGATTTTCCAGACGATGGCGGCAGCTATCTACAAAATGAATAGTTTGAAAAATAAAAATATAGGAAAGCAGCACAGTGACCAGGCACAGAGCAAAGTTAATATACAGTATTCTAAATAATTAAGAAATTTTATATATACTGTATATGCTTTTTTTTCCTGAGATATGTCCGCAACATGGATGAGTTAGAAATCATCATCTTAGCATTGATGAATTTGAAACAATAAAGAATTCTGTACATTGGGTTTTTACATCATCATCATTTTGTTTCTGCAATAGCCCTTGTAAAATTAAACATGGATCAATAGTCCCTGCCATGAGAGTCTTAATTATTTTCCATGTCTTACATTCGTTTTAACCCCATTAAGATATCTTTTAGCACAAAATAAAATTCCCCCCATCTCATCACATAGCCCTTTTAGATCCTGCACTAATTCCACATCTGCCCTGTAGTGTTAAATTAGGAAACACCCACAGTGACTGTAGTATTCTGTACACAGTAGACACAGGGGATTCATCCCAAAGAGGCAGGGGCACTGGGGTTTGTGTATGAATTCGCAGGATTATAGTCCCAAAACAAGGCAGACTTCCAGTGCTCACAGAGCATGCTGCTTTTCAACAAACAGACAACTTCAAGGCACAGATGTCTGGCTCGTTAGATGTTTTGTGGGTTTCTGATTTCTGTTTAAAATACCTGACTGGGAGAGATTGTTTTTTAGGTATTGCTATGTTAAGCGTCCTGATCCAAGGAGAGCAGCTCTGGGATCCCACACACCTGCTGGGTTTCATTCCAGCTGAACTAAATCCTTAATTGAACTGACTGTTCGATGATCTAATTACTTCAGTTATTTAGTTAATTGCTTGATTGAGACCTTTGCAAGCTTTTTTTTTCCCTCACAAAAGCTGGAGACCTTACGTCACGTATGAAACATAACTGTCAGAAGGTGATCTCCTACATGTTTAGGAATGGAAGAAAATGAAAGAGTTTCAATTATTCATTTTATTAGGTCAATTAAATAAAGATAATGTGACCTAGGGTCATCTTCTGTTGCTGTTGCAGTCTGCAGATTGGAGCTAAGAGATCATTAAAGATAAGACAGTAATGGCTATGAGGAAACATACATCTATTCTGCTCAGTATCAGACAGAAGTCAACCAGCTTTGTTTACTACTGTGAGTGCAGTGATATGAATTTCTTTAACATGCAACTCAGTGACTACAGTATGTGCAGAGATCTGCTCAACACTAACCAAGCTGAGACATGACTGTCCGAGTGAGGTTAGTCTCAGTGTCCTTGCGAAGTCTGTCTCTGTGTCCGAGTGGTCTTTGTCGTAGTGTCGTAGCAGAGTCTGTCTCTGTGTCTGAGTGGTATTTGAGAAGTTATTAATGTTAGAGAAGTGATTAATGAGATCCTTCATAAGGAAAGAACACCCAATCAAATTAAGCTTTTAAACTACAAGATGCAAATTAGGGGTCTGGGACACATTAAACCCTTCACTTTGCTGACTACAGAGATTTCTGTAATGGTGTTTCAGTTGCAGTGTAACAGTGTCTTCTACTGAGTACAGCTTCAGGACACCTCTGAGCCCCCAGCATCAGGAAGCACCTCAAAACCCCTGGTTGATTGAGTGGGGTTTATGCTACTAACCAGGTATCATCCATTCAGAAAAGGCACTGGTAATGCTGTTCATTTTAATTAGAAGACCATTTACCAATCACAGTGGTAACCTGACCATGGTTTTTAAGCCAATTGTGGGTTTGGCTTTATACAGCATCTATTCTTAAGCTGATGTATCCCAAAGCGCCTCAATACAGACCTCCAGCTGAACTAGGAGCGGTACACTGGAGTACAGTATCTGGGACAGGGCACAGATTCTTTCCCTAATGAAACCGCCTTCTTATTGGCTATAGTAAGAGGGCTCTGGGATCTTTAATGTGGACGTTATGGATTAGGCAGGAGCAAAGTCTCACTTGAAGAACAGGAGGAAATATTTTTGTGAAATGTAGATAGTGTGGAAATAATTTCAGAGGCTTCCTGAATCTGTCGCTCCTGCCTCAGAGGAAACACGGCGTAATGTATTTCTTTTCCATAAGAACACCTTGTCCAGAGATGTGAAATCTGTCTAATGGAGATACCACTCCAGTCACTGACATTGCAGTCAGTTATTGGCCCTTAGGCCAGTGGTTCTCTGTCTGGCCCCTGGGAGATCCCTGTGTCTGCTGGTTTTTTGCTCCAGCTGGGTTCTTCATCACAGATGAATCGTTTTTTGAAGTTCGGTTTGAGTCTTTTTTTTTT